AGACGTAGTTATGTCTCTACTTATGAACTTCTCATACTAAGCATATGATATAACATTCAACATAATGGTTTTAGCTTTATAATGATTCTTGTAATCTTTGTTTTGTTTCTCAGTCATCACTCATTTTTCTAACTTGTTACCACTGTTATCAATAGGATGAATGAATTCATAAACTACCATATCCCATAGATCCACAACATGGGCAAGAAAGAAACTTTCAATTCTATCTTTCTAATAGTCAAACTTTTCTCCATCAAAAACTGGGGGTTTGGCACTATAGTGATCTATGTCAGCGGATGCAACTGGTGGAGGAACTCCGACCATTGTCTTTCACAAACTAGAATTTTATCTGACCGGTGAAGTGTTTGATAAAAAATCAATATCATGATTGAGCTTTGATACCAATTGAAGGTAATGGAAACACAAGAAATGAGGGTTTGAATTGGGTTTCTAGAGTGAAAATCTTTTGCTACCTAAGACAACAAGGAGAAAACTAAGATAAAAAATAATGAACACAATTATTTTTATCCTAGTTCGTTGTTAACCAAGATACCTCAAGTCCGCCCGTCAAGGTGATTTCGTCTTATCACAAGTAATCTATTATAATCAAACTTGATTACAACCACAAAGACTAATTGTCAATGTCTTCTTGAGTAATTATGACTAAACCCAGGTCACTCAAGGAAATAAATCACAAAGTTTGAGATACAAAGTATGTTACAAGATGCTTCTAAAAAAGCAGTATACATAAATGAATTATAAAGTATTTCACACAAAATATTTTCTATGAAGAGTATGAAGAAACGTTTCTTGTGTGTTTGTTTCTCTTTCTCTCAAAAATATGCACAATATGCAATGTTTACATAAATGATATTCTCTTGATGTTGGCTCTATTCCATTCTTCTAAGACTCATTTTAATAGGCAATGAAAAGATCCGTTGGAGGGTAGAAATAGAATACACAAATGTAGTTGTATCCTTGCATAACGATCTGGGAAAATGGGAGACACAATGGTACAATAATACAGTCATTTTTCCACAAAATCAATATAGTGGAAAGAATATTTGATCTTGTTATGTGAACTATTTTCCCATGTAAAATCTTTTTGATCTTATCTTAAAATATTCAGGGGCTTCAGATAGAGAGTTGATGAAGCATGCAAAGAAGAAGAATCAGAGTTTGTATGAGATAGTCTTCAGAAACATGATCTTTAGAGTCATAGTTCAATTCATCAAAACCTAGTCTTCAAAGTCTCGTGACACAGTTCATCAGAGTTATTAAGCCCAAGACTTCAGAGCTTGATAATGTCAGAGGCTTCTATTGTCAGAGTCATAAACCTTTAGATGAGAAATGTTCAGAAACGTTGAGTAGACTAGTCCAGAGCTTGACTATCTTATAAAACACACATCTCAAAATCAGAGTGCACTAGGTTCAGAGTCTAATGATGTCACACGTCACTTCTTCAGAGTCAGAACTTATATTTAGTATCTGCACACTTAATAAAATCATTAGGGTACAAAATTATTCTATATGAATCTATGTATTTTAATCATCAAAACATAAGGTCATATGCAGGAAAAAAAACCTTGTTCTTACAAAGATACTTTCAAAGTCTGCTCTACCTCTCTTTCAGAGTTTCTCTCAATCAAACGCAACTTTTGTTCTTAAAAAGATACTTTTAGAGTCTGCTCTACCTCTCTTTCAGGGTTTCTCTCAATCAGACGCAACTCTTATACCTCTAGACTACTCTGCAACTCTTCAATTCTCATGGTGCTGAGGTCCTTAGAATGTTCAATTGCTACAACAATGTAGTAAAACCGAGGAGTAAGTGATCTCAGTACCTTTTCATTGATTACTTTTTTTAAAGAGATTTTCTCCACAAGATTTCATCTCATTTGTGATTAGATTCACTCTAGATATGTAATCAGGTACCTTCTCATTGTTCTTCATGTTGAGATTCTCATAGTGCTTACGTAAAGACTAAAGTTTTACCTTCTTCACTGATGCATCATTGTCGTAGCATCGTACCAGGTTGTCCCAAGAAGCCTTCGTCATCATTGAATTAATGATCTTCTCAAACACATTCATACCCATACACTGATGGATATATAACAATGTCTTCTGATACTTCTTCCTCGTTTCTCAATGCACATTTCTCTATGTTTCAGTTGCATTTGCTGCAACCATCTTGTAACCGTCATTGACAGAATCAAGAACATCTTAAGCACCAAATAACACACATTTGAATCATTCATTGTTTACAATTCTTTCCATTAAAGACTATAAGTTTTATGTTCAAGCTACAATTTTCGCCGTTCATCTTCGTTCTTGTGCAAATTAATTCAAAAACTCACTGACACTCGTGTTTCTCAATCCCTTATAATCAAGAAATGTGACTCTGTTTTGATTCAGATCTTCAATTCACTGTGAATTGAATGAGTAGAATTAATCACACACGCCTCATGTACACTCATGTTTCCCGTTTCTGAATCTAAACTGAAGCTCTGGATACCAATTGTTGAAACACAAGGTTGAAGACGAAGAAGGTAAAAAAAGAGAACGAAAAATGTAAATAACTTTCTAACATAATTGAAAATTTGGTTATGAATTAGAAACTATTACAACTGAAATGTGGTTCAGAATTTATTCTATCAGAATCATTTTAAATGAAATGCAAATTAATCTAAAATGCCTCTAATGTGAATTTGAATTACACTTTAACACTTCGAGGTCATTTTTTTCTTCTATTTGTAGCTTGATAAACATGTATGGTGCAATTTGTTGTGTTTTAGAAAAAACTTACTAGTTGAACTTATTCTCAACGTAGGGATGCTCATATTGCATACTGTTACTTCACCACATTTGAGTTATTATTGATCTTGCATATGATGAGATATCATCATGAGATTAATTGTTCATCTTTGTTAAGCTTTACAACAATAAGCTTTACAACAACAATTTTTGAATGTAGTTAATATACATTGAAAGGGAGATTGCTAAAAGCTTTAGTTTTGATTCAATTATTAATGATCTCGAGTCACTTAAAGAGCACAACAACTGACAACTGTGAATGATTCCACTAACAGACCACTAGGTAACTATCACTTCTTTTGGTTTGAATTGTAAAATGTTGAGTTTTCTTTCTTAGTTGAAGACTTTTATATGTCACTGGGCATTCCTGCGATTCTGCTTACTTGAAAAAGGTTAAGAGAACTTCAGAAATGATTGTTTAGGAAGTTTAACATTTCATGTGTTTTAGAATAAGAAAATAAAAAGGGAAGAAATAGAGATAAAAAAAACTACTATGATCTACTTATTGTGTTGATGATTTAAAATTGCTGATTCAATTTTCTCTACTTAGCAGACAAGTTAATGGGTTTGTCTTTCTACATTGTTGAGTGAAACCGAAACTCGTCTTTTGTATTTTTATAACAATGTCTTTCAAAAGGTTATGAAATTTGAAGCGCATAGTTCCGATATATTGATTAAGACAATAGTTAATTAAAAACAAAATAAATATTTTGTTGACTGCGTAAAAAAAGAGAAATTTTGATATTTAAAATAAGAATCTTGTGTCTTAAATAAAATTAATTATTAATTAAATTATAATAGATATTTTACCGATAATAGTTTGTGAAATGATAAGTTCTCGCATAGTTATTAAATATTATCAAATTTGATGAAATAAAATTTTAATTTTATTAAAATTTAAAAATAAATTTAAAAATAATAAATAAATAAAATTGATTGAAAATATCTGAAAAAACAAAATTAAACATCAAATGTTGTATTTTATTTATACACCAATAAATATTTTGTACACTAATTATATACTTTAACTATACATATTAATATATTATAAATAATATATTAATATGCATAAAAAAGGTTTAAAAAAATACTCTATATCTTTTGATAACTTTATAAAAAAAATTCTATACAACTATTTTGTCTAATTGTATATTATAACATTTTTTTAAAAATGTCTTTTTTCTTATTACAAAAATAATGAAAACAATAACGAACATTAAAGAAAAATGAAATAAGTTAGATTTATTGATATTTAAACTTTGAGAAGTATAGAAGATAGTATAAATAATTTTAAAGTGAAAGGAATTGGTCGCGTTCTTTGCTCTATTTAGAGTATCTTTAGTGGGAGTGTCTTAAGTGGATAAACTAAGATATTTTTTGTGGATTTTCAAAGTGATTTGTAGGAATTAAAAAATTTATAGTTGATTTAAATTGTTTTTACTTTAATGATAGTTATTTATAAAAAACTAAAATTTGACCCTATATTTTATATTTTTTAATTGTAATTATTTTTTTAATAATATAAATAATAATATTATATATTTTAAAATATACGTTTATGTCATAGTCATTCCAATGCAAATTCTTTATATAATCATCGTTAACTATAAAAAATTTAACTATTAAAAATCTGCATTAAAGATACTCTTATGTGTTTAAAGTTCTTAATAAACATGTATCTCTTCAATCAGGGTAAAATAATTGAACAAGATTATACATGTCTAAAAGATTCCAATTGATAACTAGAGGATTATGGCTTTGCATCCCAAGATATAATCGAATTATACTCATGATCTCGTACCTTATGATATTCAGATAAAATATTCGTTGCAATAGGATTATAGATTTGACACAAGATGCTTCAGTGAGTGCATTATGTGTGCAGAGGAAATAAATAAGAAAGAACTACATGAAGCATTCCAATTAACATCATCCTAATGATTCAAAATTGAAAAGAATAATAATTGAAGTGAAATGCTTAAGCTACATGAGGAAACATCATTGGGATCCACCTATAAACATTTTGGACAAACTTTAATTACCATCCCCGCAGACAAAACTTCAACTTCAAGAAACGCCTGAATCAGGTGAAGAACATAATTTTTAGTCATTCGAAAGGGGCCGCGTTCTTCTTTTTCATGGGCTAGCCTCACACCTATATACCTTGTTATTTGCAGTTTGGTTAAGCCCTAAGATGGAGTGTCGTTGCTGCTATTTGGAACCTCATAAAGGGTTATACTGCTACCACCACTTTGAAGGATCTGATCTTCATCATTTTCCCCCTCTGATTGAAAGTTTTCAAGGATTTCAACAACCTGGCTCATTAGAGGTCTGCCTTTCGGGTTTTGGCTAAGACATTGGTATGCTAAATGTGCCGCCTTTGTTGCAGTTTTACTTGAGTATTGCCCTTCTATTTTCGGGTCTAGAATTTTCAGAAGTTTCTTGTTATGATTCAGCAACGGTCGTGCCCACTCAACCAAGTTGTGCTCTCGGCTGGGCCTGCTCTTATCTAGTGCTCTCCTACCAATAAGCAATTCAAGTAGCACCACCCCAAAACCATACACGTCACTTCGAGCAGTCAAATGCCCTGTTTTGTATTTACAAATAGGTTACACAACAGAAATTATCTCAACTTATATATGATAATGGATACATAAAGTATCGGTTTCCAATATCTTAACAAGTTAATAATATAGGGTCATGCTATCTTGTGCCCTAAGGCACATGTTAAAAAACCCACAAATAGAAAGTATGTGTTGAAAAAAACAATAAAAAGTTAAATTATAAATTTTTACCGTAATGAAGTTAATACACAATTTTCAATACAAAATTTATACATTTAGTTCTTAATTTGTGCTCAAGGGCACAAAGTTGGCATTGCCCAATAATATATATTGGGCTTCAGAAATAAAGTTACTAGAATTTGACTCAAGTAACGGAAAAATATCCATCGTGTTTCTTGGGAGTACTTAGCGGAAAGTTCACTTCCACCTTTTCTCTTTCATTAAAAATCTCCATAAAGAGACTGAAAAAGAAATCAAAAAGCACACATTGTGATTTACAAGACACCACAAAAGAAAAAAGTTTCAACATCACAAGTAAAATGGCATGCCAATCCTAGTATAATATGTCACAAACCCCATCAATACCTTTAAAATATTGAAATTCATGTACTTGTTATTGTTTCTTCTTCCTTGGTCCTCCATACAAATACCAAGGTTGAAGAAATTAAGAGGAGCCAATTTAATGTCTTCAATTTGGTAATGAAGTTCATGCAGGCATTCATTTCCAACAATAAAGTGCAAAAAAAAGGCCAGGATGGTCTTATAAAGGTTGTTTATGTCATGTCAACATAGAATTGTGCAAATTGCATAAATATGGATAAAGCAAATGCACTTTTATTGTCGATTAGTTTTTAAAGTGGCAAAAAGTGTAGATAAATGATAATATTTCAGCAAAAATAGATTCTAATAACTTACCAGTCATGACATACTCCGGAGCAGCATATCCATATGTGCCCATTACTCGTGTTGAAACGTGTGTTTGGTCCCCCATTGGCCCATCCTTCGCAAGGCCAAAGTCTGAAAGCTTTGCATTGAAATCCTGCAGTTTTATGCCTCAATACCTCAACATTAGATAGCTGAAACCTACGCAAACTTTACTTTTTTAAAAAAGATGATTTATGATGTTATTGAGTAGCATAGTCATAGTTTCTTCTTCTGATTAATAGATTAATGAATTACAGGGGAAGGGAATTAGATAGATAAGAATATTGAGAATAAGAATCCTTAAAAAAAAAAATCAACAAAAACTACATGACAATAGAAAAACATACTAACTAAACAAAGATCACCAATCTCTCTGCGATTTTTCGGGTTATCTCTAAAGAAACCATTGGCCGAGACCATAAATATGCCCAAAAAAAACTTCATCTAGGTATTTTTAAGTTTAGGTGTCTAGCAAGTCAGGTTGAATGAGATTAGGAATGATACTTATGGATATGATGATTAACAGTTCTATTTTTTCCTTTCAAATTTGAAAAATCCAAAAAAAATCTTATAATGTTTAAAAGAAGAAACTTTATATAACAATAAAGATCTCATTAGCTGAGACCATAAAGATTCTAAAATAAAATTTCATTTGAGCCTTTTTAAGTTCAAGTGTCTAGTTAGTCAGGTTGAACATTGTGGAATGATACTTATGCAAAATCCAAGGAAAACTTTTAATGTTTAAAAGAAGCAAATTTATATAACATTAAATATCACTTCTAGTAAACAAAAAGTTGAAAACAAAACTTAGCAGATTAGAAGACAACACACCGCATCTAGCAAGATATTTGAAGTCTTAAAGTCACGATATATGATTGGCCTTTCTGCACCATGAAGAAAAGCAAGCCCTCTTGCAGCATGTAAAGCAATCTTCATTCTTTTTGACCAAGTCAATGTTGAGCCGGCTCCTACAATTAAGAAACCATGGACGGTTAGGACTGCAAGAGGCAGTTTCCTTATCAAGTTTTTCCTCAGTATACCATTAAATTGATTTATTCAATCAATGCACTAGAAGAACTGAATGACAAGAATCATGACAAATGGGACACTAGATATCCATTTACAAATATGTTAATTATGTAAATAATCTGGCTTCAGTACATAACCTTAATACTATTCAAAAGTAAAATATGTGAAACTTACTGCGAAAAAGATGTTTCTCCAAGCTCCCACTAGCCATGTATTCATAGACCAACAAGCGGTGTTCATCCTCACAGCAGTATCCAAAGAGCTTCACAAGATTCGGGTGACTAAATTGACCCAAATAGTTAACTTCAGCCTGCATTGCAAGCAAAACCAGACCATTTAAGTTAGATCACATTCACATCTAATGCTCACTCCCATCAAACCTTTCTCACCACTCTAACCGTCTCATTGTTCAAACATAATATCAAGTGTATTTCATTTCATGTTGGACTATATCAGAATTAGTTGAGCTTGACACCAAATGTCAGTTTAGCTAGATGTAAAATAGCTTTCCCTTTGAGTTCAATAATCTACCGCAACTTTAACATGAAATTTTTTGTTAAAAGTAAAAATCTTCAATCAAAATCATTTCACTCTAAACTCAATCTAAACCAAGTTAACTTAGTACACTACTATAAAACACACATTAATACTTGTACCATAAAAAACACATTATCGCATCGTTAGTTAGTTCAATTGGTTCAGTGGTGATTGACGCTGGACTTGGTAAGGGGAACCACATTTCAATCCCCGCAACTGCGATCGGGAGGGGGCTGGAACCACTTGATGCAAGAATTGGACCGGATACTGGTGGCGAAAACAAAAAAAAAAATCTTTTTTTGGTAAAACCATTAATGTGACACATTAAATTCAACTATGAGGAATGTTTATATGCATTAAATAGACAACTATTAACACTAATCCAAAACATATACTACTTCTACTAAAGTATATGACAAGTTAATTAATTAATTAATTGTGCAATAAGGAAAAGTGAGTGACATACAAGCCATTCCCTATCGCCTTGAAAGCCTTCGCGATTAAGTTCCTTAATAGCTACTTCAGTGGATTTATAACCGGGTCTAACACTATCATCAATAACACCTTTATACACAACACCAAATCCACCTTCTCCAAGAATGAAATCAGGACGAAACTGCTTGGTCGAAAGCCTCAATTCGTTGTAGGTAAAAATATGAACGTTGCTGTATCCAGCACCTTCACGAAGTTCTTTGATATTCATGGAACCAGTAGCACCTATTGGTGCAGCGGATTCATTTCCAACCGAACCTGTTGGATAGCAAATTGAAGAATAAAATCATGGATCGAAGAGAAAGAAATAAAGAAATGAAAGTACCTTTGGAATTAGGTTTTGGTTTAGAATCGGAGAGGGAAACGTGTTTTTCTTCAATGCTGAAGCAAATCCCCATGAATATCGATCTGAACAGAAACCGCGTTTACACACATTCAGAATTCATAGTTGGAATGAGAGAGAGTGGATTTTGAATAGTTAGTTTAGTTAGGTTTTAGAGAGAGAAAGATAGAGAGAGAGTGAAGAATGATTCAAAGATGAAGAGTGGCATTGCTTTGGGCGTAGAAAGCGCCAAACTAAACGTTCTCTTAATCAATCTTGTCTTTTCATCCTTTGCTTCCGTTTCGGTTATTACAAACCAATTTTTTTTCCACTTTTGCCATTTCTATTTCGCTACTCTTTCTTCATTATTTCTTATGCTTAAGCAATCATACAATTTTCTTACCGACATCAATCTCATTTTTCTTTTATTAATATTTCAAAAATACATCTTAAATAATAAAAATTGCAGTAATCATGTGTGTGACTTTCAACCCACTATCCTCTACTTCTAAATATTGTAGCGTGTGTTTCAAATTTTAATAATAGTAAATTTCATTTTTTTTTTTTTAAATCTCTCTCTCTCAACAATTTATCAAATAGTAATAATAATTTTAAGCCTTCAAATGTAAGGGAAAAAAATACAATTTGGTAAATTTATTACCTTCAATATTTTTTTCTATTCGCTGATGCTCGCGAATTTAAAGGGTAAACTGTGTCGTAACATGTCATACATGAACCACGTGAGAGAGAAATTTTGAGGACTTATAATAAAGAATTACCAAACAATACAATATTGAAACTTCATAGAAATTATCACTGTTTTGTAATTGGACTTTATTACTTTAGTTAGCTAGGAAAAACTACAAGCGAAGAAAATGACGGATAAGTTATAAAATCAATGGATAAAATATACAACACTCCTACAATTTAAATGAGTTTCAGTTTATCTCTTATTAAAAAAAAATTTATTTTTTTTTCTTTTAAGCGGCAAAATTACTCATAATATTTTTTTTTTACTGCCTCCAAATTCAATATTTAAGTTGCAAGTTTAGGAAATAAAACCAAAAAAAAAAAAATTACAGAAGAAATTCAAAAAAAATATATTATAAAATAGAAAATCGAAACTTACCTACATTACAATACATATTATATATTTAACCCTAAAAATCAAATAATATTGGTATATTTAAAAAAGTTCCAAAGGGGATGAGGCAGAGGCTAGGGATATGACATCTCACTTATACTATCTTTTTTGTTGTTTGTTTCCTAGTTCAAACGCTCGTTTTTTGAATGAGGCTCTCTTTCTTCAGATATGTCGCTTATGTTCTCGATAATTTGTGCAGAGCATGCAATCGTTGGGTGATGTGTCTTTAGTCCATAACAATGTAAAGGAAGTTTGGGGAAGCCAACCACGCTCTATTGAATAATAGAAGATTATTTATTCATTCTCACATTTTCTCAAATGCAATTATTATTTCCATGTAGCATATGATCTAGACCCAATAAGGCTATAAATACCTTAACCCTGAAGTTGGAAGTGGAACAATCACATATTGACACAAAAACTGCATACACAAAACTTCTTACCCTCTTACAAGAGCTAACTCTAAACCCTACAAGATACCCTAAAGCATATAACAACCCTTAATCTCTAGGGATTGTCACATATTGTGTTTTTAACAAGTACAATTGGCACCCACAGTAGATCATCAGTAAAACTGATATGGGTCAGACTCATTGCTACTCATCGTTGAAGGTGTGAAAAATACACAAGAAAGAGGGGGTTTGAATTGGGTATTTTCTCTATTAATAATTTTTCGCTTTTCTTCACTTGTTGCTTTCTATAGAGTTCTTTAAGATGCATTGCGGAAGCATATATAATAAAGTATAACACAAGTAAAGAACACATGATATATCCTGGTTCACTTGAGCAACTCTCAAGCTAATCCAGTCCACTCTTCCAAGGTGATTTCGCCTTACTCAAGCAAGGACTTAATCCACTATAACCAAACTGATTACAGTTGCACAAGCTAACTGCAGGTGACTAACAAATAGACAATGACACGTTCAGGGATCTCTAAGGATATAACGTTCATTGACACCTAATAGAATCCGATCAATTAAGATCTCCTATTAGTTACCACAAATGACAACTGTCACTTGTCATCTCAAGTATTATGATCTTCACAAGATCACTTGAGGAGCCACTAATTCTAAAATGAATTTGTGTTGCCGGAGATTACATGAGTGCTTCTTGTCAAGCAGATTACTCATAATTAAGTATAAGGCAAGTATTGAGCAATAGCTCCTTGCTTCCTAATACAGAAACTAATCTAATGATAAATCTCTATGAGATTATAAGAACATTAGTTTCCATATGCTTAAAAGCTTTTCTTATGTGAGCATTAAGGCTTCTTTTCATTAAGATTTTCTTGTTACTCTACCATGTTGCTAACTTCACTCATCAGCATCATTGCTTTGTAACAAGTTGACTTGCTTTGTAATGAGCTCTAACTGCGTTACTCACTCAACAACAACAGCCATTTGAAATAATCAAATGATCTTCTTTTATAACGCAGCTTTGTGAGGGTAGAAATGCCATTTCTAATTCCAACGGTTATATCCCAACGGATAGAATAAGCCCACGTGTTGGAACAGTGACCTTTGCTTGTAACTTTAATATCTCAACATTGAAAACCACGCTTATGAATAGTACCAACGTCTTTGTCATAGTGAAATGTTTGCATGCGTTATACTGTAGTCTTCTTGACTTGGTTCTTCTGATGAGTAGTGCAGCAACTACTTTGGTATGAAAGCTTCAGCATCAGAGTTGTTTAAGCACATGTTTATCATATTTAATAGCAGCAGCTTATCTGATGAGTAATACGCCTCTGTCTGGGTGAATCTTCTTCTGACACAATCTTCAACTTCAGAATCCAGTCTTCAGCATTCCAAGATCTAAGTTTCCTCTGAAACAGTCTTGAGAATCTTCGTGACTCATTCTTCAGAAATCATGTCTTCAGAATCTTCAGAATCTTGATCTTCAGAACACGTCTTCAGAGTCTTTATGCACTTGGTCTTCAGAGCCTTCAGCCTTCAGAACTTCAAGTCATCAGAGTCTTTAGAGTAGTTCTTCATAACCCTTAAGTCTTCAGAGTCTTTCTGTACTTGGTCTTCAGAGCCTTCAGCCTTTACAACTTCAAGTCATCAGAGTCTTCAGCACTTAGTTCTTCAGAGGACTCACTCTTTAGAGACGCTTGTTTGCTTCTGTTAGACTATGGCACGGATCTAGAAGGGGGGGTTGAATAGATCCCCAATTAAAATTTGAGTCGGCGCTACCAATTTGAAATTGGTTTTAAAAAATTTTTAAGTGCGGAAGCGGCCGAGGAAAATTATAGTCTAAAACGAACGGTTATTGGAAAACCGGATATACGTAAGCCTATGGATTTATGAAAATTCGGAAAAATAAAATCACAACACAAACTATGCTTATCAATTGTTTACTTCAATTTGCAAGGTTGCCTAGTTCCAATGAAAAACAAGGCACACAAAAACTAGAAGCAAAATAAGACAATTTTAGTTCAGGACTTTTGTCGAACAGTTTGTGTGCACAAATATCACAAAGGATATTTGTGTTGAGTAAGAGATTGGAAATGCCTTAGTACAATATTCTTATTGTACTTAGTAGTTAAAACAGAGTTTTAACACCTTACTCACTTTGTATCACAGTTTGACAATAATCACTTAAGCTAGAATCACTTATTTTATAAGCTGAATTGAAAATGACAGAAAATGAAAAACACACGATTTGATGAGGCAGTTCCCCCGTCATCCTCGCTTCGGGGTACGTCTTCCCTCAATTCTAAAATTAGAATTGAGATATGAATATATATCACCTGTTGGAATGAACAGTTTACACAAGAGTTGATAGACAATGATACAAACAATCTCAAATGTTGTTGATGCTTGCTATCTCTTCTTGCACCTTGATTCAAGATGAATCAAGCCCTTCAATTTGTTGTGAATGACCTCCGGTTCCAGCCACCTTAATGAAAAACCTTTCGTTGTTCAAACCTTCGGCTCGGCTGATCTTAGACACCAACAAATCAAACCCGGAAAGTCTTCAACACTTCAACGCCCTTGCTACTAAATTGATGAACCTTCCGTTGATCAATTACCTTCGCACCTGCTTGAATGTTGAACGAACTATTCCGTGACAAAAGCCCTTCAAAACCTTCTAGTCTTGATGGGTAAAACCCTCAAGGTTTTCTGCAAGAAACACCTGCCCCAATTTCCACTCGAACCGGATCTTCAATCAACGCGTTCGAACCTTATCACCCTTTGAACAAGACACTAATCTCAGCAAAAATGATTGTGTATATTTATGGATTTGTGTGTTGTGTGAGGGATGAAGATGAAGAAATTTGTTGCACCTATTTCACGTTTCTTGCCCTGACAATTTACTCAAGATTTCAATTGTTTTTTTTTGTTAAAACTGAACAAAACTCTATTTATAGTAATAACCAAAACAGCCAACAAAACAGATTTTTAAACACAGCAAGAAAAACAGCACAGCGCGCGAACGGTCGACCATAGGGTCGGCGTGCGCTGACCCGTGGGAAATCCTCAGCTCCATGCGCTGAGTGGCACAGTCGACGCATGTCTTCATGCGCTGATCCGTGGGAAATCAAAATACTCATGCGCCGACTGTACGGTCGACGCATATCTTCCATGCGCTGAGCCGTGAGAAATGCCAAGCTTCATGCGCCGACTGTATGGTCGACTCACTGCTTAGAAACCTGCAAATTTAACAGCTTTTTCCATTTTGCATATCCTGCCACATTCAGTCATGACACATATTAAGGTATAATAATTTAACACTGAAAAAGAGGTATAGCAATGAAAACAGAGATATAGCATGATGCTTCTAATTTGTTTTGTCATCATCGAAAACTCGGAGGCCTGTATTGTGAGACAACTTGCCCTCACATTCTCCCCCTTTTTGATGATGACAACCTGTTGAACACAACATGCGATGTCTACGCTCTCCCCCTTTCTTTTTCAGTCAAAGCATTT